TCACTCGGTTTGTTTCGTGATCATCAGCGATATTCGTTGATCACTTGTTGTTGTAGTAGTAGTATGTTTAGTGGTTTAATGGTAGACGCATCGGTTCGATTCCCAATTGGGTGATGTTGATATGGACATTGAGTTGACATTTCTGTTGCGACTGCGTTTCGATAGTTTTTTGTTTTTGGAGATTCATCGTTGAACTGATGAAATCTGTGTGAGGATGAATACCTTAAAGGAAAGGTACCTCGAGCACCTAGATACCCCAAAAAATGCAGTGTTCACTGAGTTATCGAATTTTTGTTCTTCCCGTTGAGGATGCAATGATATGTAGTATGTATGGTTCGTTTGGTTAAGATTTCTGAAAATATGTCCATCCTGCAAGAAGACGCAAACGGGTCAGAGATTAGTGTTGATGATAAGTGTCATCTGTTGAAGAAATGAGATTTTGTTGTTAGTTAGTGTTATGCTGATTGTGAGTTTTATCATTGTTGCGACTGGAACGTTTGTATTCTTTTGTAGAATTAGAAATGGTCGCAAATTTCTCAACTAATCAGATTTTTCGTGAGCATTTGAGAAATTGCCTTGTGGACGTTTTGGGAAAATTAGTGGGTTGAGAATTGTGTACTATGGAAAAGTCTCTCGTAATGATAAAAATTGTGCGATTAGGTATGCACGTGTGTTTGTCTGATGAGAAGTGGACGACTACTTGGAGTTCTCAACTGAAAAGAGCAATTTCCCAAATCCTCATAATCAGTTGTGTTTGAAAATTTTATGAGCTTAAATTCAGCGCATTGCATGGATGGAAATCATCGTTTGAGCGTGAATGGAAATCATCCTTTTTCTTAGTATCAGTCAACGAACGGAATTTTCAGATGTTCAGTTTGTTGAGAATTGTGCGTTTTCAGTTAGATTGAAAAAAAAAATGGTTTTTCCGATCTGTTGTGAGTAATTAGTTTGCATTCTTCTTTTTTTGCAGTTGGATTCGATGTTCGGATCAAAACGAGGCAAAGAGAAGGATCGAGAGAGTGTGAAGAGCCGAGGACGCGATAAGGATGGCGCACATCGAGTGAACGATAGCAGTAGTTATTTTACGGTGAGATTTTAGTTTTATTTTTTGCTGACACGCATCCCGGCGATGATTAATACTTTTTGCTGCGTTCTGGGATTGGTACATTTGATTTTGACTCATTCTTTCTGTTCATCATCTGCGAATGTGAGCCGTTTCGCTTTACAAGTTTCGAAACATCTGAAGACAAGAATTTGCATGTTGAACTGATGGGAAACTACTTTAGCCTGTTTGACGACTATGATGATGTGAGTGCCTCTGGCTTCATTTCCTCTCTAATTTATCACGCAAAAATTATCCCCACTCGTCATCACATAAACATCAGTTTTATAGCTTATAAGCATGTTTTTGCGAGGAATCCTTGAAAAGGATCTCTTGGAATTGAATACCACTTAAGCGATCTTGCACACTGGTTTTTCGGAGTGTTCTCTGTTTGTTCAATTCATTGAATTTGAATTATGGCAACATGCAGGAGATGTGTTTGTTCATTGAATACATTCCATGAATTGTTATTGTTGTTGGTATAAATAATCAGTATTGTTATCATATCATGTATTATTTCTTTTGGCAACTATTGCAATATGTAGTTCGCACCATTCTTTCATTGAATGCATCTGAATTCTGGATTTCGCTAAATATTTCTTCGTTTGTTCTTTATGCACTAGTTGATTTATGGTCTGCAAAATTCCATTGAACACCATTCATTCACCGTGACACTATTCAAGCTACTGATATTTCTGTTGATCGATAGTTTTGCTTGAATTGTTCCATTTAAGTCATAGCATCAGTGTTAGGTGGTGTGCTCATTGATCAGTCAGTGAGCTTGTTGCTGTGCGAACGTTTCGAATATCTCTTTACGCAAATTTGCAAGTTTCTGAGTCATTCGCTCACACGACTACCATCCATCCCTGTTACCGTTCAATTGCATGACAGCTGAATCCGTTGGCGATTAAGAGCGTCCTATTCCTTCATGGATGAGATGGTAGAACCATTGCAACCGGACGGTTCCACTGAGAATTCATCGTCAAGTTCCTATCTTCAATCCCCATCCAGTCACTTACCTAAGCCACCTTGGCGTCGTTCAAAATCGGTTGGTTTCTCATCAGCATTTGCCTACATCACACCATCAGAACTGCATGCAAGATCACCACTGCGCGCGGTCATTGCTTCACCGAAAACTGATGAAGATTATTCGACGCCGGATGTCGTCCGATCAGTCAACGGTTCGTC